GCTTCTTTGTCACATGATCAAATTAAGGGCGCACATTTCCGCCTCTTTTGGTTTAAATTTATCCTTGTCATCTTACACATCTCACCACAGTGGTCTTTCCATAGAAGCGCAGCCAAACAACTGACACAACAGGGAAGTCAAATATCTCTTCAAAACCTCCTGACTTCCTTGATGTTTCGATCGCTTCTTTTCTTACTGTGGTTTTCCAAATAAAACTAACAGATAACTTCAAAACTTAGGTTTGATATAAATTAAGAGTGGTGGGATCTGTAAAAACATTAATACATTTACAAAACAAACGATAAATAAAGAGAAGTCATACTTTTTTTTGTTTGGGGAGTATATATTTATTGCTTGATGCATCACTTTCTGCAGATATATATGTTTGAGCTAAGCAAGACTAGAGGTTTTGTGCATGCAGGGAAGTATTGCTCTTAGTGAGTATACATAATAGTAGCTAGCTGTGTGTTTATTTTTGGAGCGGGCTTTCTGCAAGCGGGAGGAAAACGTTTAGATCAGAACTTCAGATCTGCAATCTTCACAGCTTCTTCATTTTGGCAGTGACTAGAGAGCAGATGGAATAAGAGATTGCATCAGTGTCATTGTACATATGTTGCTTCATCAACTGTATTTGTGAGTGTGCTTGTTTGAACAACTTACGTTTCTGGGCCCATTCTTCCTTAGGATCAACGCAGACATGTCCATTTGGTGTTTTGAAACTATAGAAAAACATGATATTATTGTGACTCCATGTGTGTAAATTTGTGAGTTTTGAAAAAAAAAAATGTAAGAGCTTACATCAAAGCCTTAAAACAGAGAGCATGAGCAGGCACTTCATGATAAGTGTGCCCGATCACATCAGTGCTGACCACAGCTTCAGAGTACTTCTTGCAGCATGGACGAGGATGACGTTGTTTTGATGGGCCACGCTCTAAAAAGGACATAAAATAATGCAGGTTGATGATATAGGAAATACGGTCGATATGCCTCAGGCAAGAGTTCACATGCCTTAAGAACAGCTGACTTTATTTTAACATAACTGGAGCTGTCTTCAAAACTCAAACGCAGAATATGCTTCTTGCGCCTTCCCTGTGAGAACAGACTGAAGCATCAGAGCGCAGTCAGCATTGGGCCAACATCTTGCTCCAGACACAATTCAAATAAGAAAAAAAAGTGTCCAGATCTTTCTCGTTAAAGCGTGGTAATAGACGCAAAGTTACTAACATTACAAAGCGATGCACGGAAGAGCCACGGGCCTGTGCGCCCTGCTCCTCGCCAGACAACATGCCATCCCTCACCAAAGACGAACGAAATTCCTCCAAATCTAATTTAGCCTTCTCAGACTGTTGACAGATTCGTTCAAGCTCAAGCTGTTTCTTGATTTCTAATTCCTGTCATGTTCCGTCTGCGTTAACAAAATCAATTGTCAGCTTTGCGCACACACGGAAACCAGCAGACACAGAGACACTAACCCGTGCGCACCAAGAGGAACACTCCTCAACCCAATGTGGATTTTCTCCCACTATCTAGACCTAAACCCAGCTACCTAAACTCGACCCTATTGCAGCTGCAGTGGTGGGTATTTATACACTAGTGACCGCTGGCTCAGTTGGGTGACTAGCAGGCTTAGCAACCTTCTCGAAACCACGGACATGCTCCCAAGCAAAAGCTTCACCCACGTTCACCACACTACCAATTTATCCCCGCACAACGAGCCCATATGAGGAACGTCGCTTCAGCCTACCAGGGGAAAACACCACACTATATTACCGATTACGCACAGGAAACTGTCAAGTGCCAGCCGGCAGCCGAAACAATAAGCAGCTGACAAACAAACTCTCTCTCAACGTCAAAGGTAAAAACAAACAATCCACAAAGCTACGAACAAATCACTTACCCTGCACTGTTATCCCAAATAGGCCGTCATTTCCAACAAACAAACTCCTGCTCATACACGAGCCGACAAAAGTTTTACCGCGAACAGGTACACCACAGAACAGCACAGCGAGCGCTCCAACTTTACGCACACAGACTCCAGAAAAGTTTGAAGCACAAAACACCTCAAATCCAAGCAAAAACTTGCTTAATGGTAAACTAAAGTCAATTTGTAACATTTAATTGAGCCAAATATCTCTCTCTCTCTCTCTCTCTCTCTCTCTCTCTCTCTCTCTCTCTCTCTCTCTCTCTCTCTCTCTCTCTCTCTCTCTCTCTCTCTCTCTCTCTCTCTCTCTCTCTCTCTCTCTCTCTCTCTCTCTCTCTCTCTCTCTCTCTCTCTCTCTCTCTCTCTCTCTCTCTCTCTCTCTCTCTCTCTCTCTCTCTCTCTCTCTCTCTCTCTCTCTCTCTCTCTCTCTCTCTCTCTCTCTCTCTCTCTCTCTCTCTCTCTCTCTCTCTCTCTCCAAACGAACAATTAACTCATCAACCAAGTACCAAACAAATACAAATCAATCTTTCTTACCAAAGTCACGGCACAAAAGAGAAAAAGGCGGACGAGCCCCCAATTTGTCATAACCTGGCTCCATGGCCATGACAAATATGAGAAGGAACAACTTAAATTGAGCAAACAATGATTTATTTGCACAATGCACTCACAACCAAAGCACAAACAAACAAATGTCAAAGTTTAAGCAAGAGAGAGAGCGGGAGAATCCACCCTGGGGTCGGGCTTTTATGCCCTGCCAGCAACAGGCCCAGGTGCTCTAGATTGGACCATCCAACTCCTCAAGAACTAGGGGGGACAGAATCAATTAGTTACAGCCTGACTAAGGCAGTGACCGTCACAATACCATAAATCCTTAAATAGTACCCCTCCAACACGCATCTAAAATTACAAGTCAGTACTGTGAAAGATAAGTGAAATACCCTCGATGAGTTCTAACAGAAGAAGAAGAATTCAAGATTATAATTCATTTGTCCCGTTTCTGTTTCAGTTTCTAATATGATACATTTGTTGAAGAGGTTTGTTATGAAAAAACTACTTACACTAAATCTCAATGCCACTAGTTTGTCTGGTTTCACATTTAGAGGTCAAATTATGACTTTGCTATTTTTTCTTAATTTGCAAGCACAAAGCACAACAAGAGCACTGAGTGTCTGTAAAATAGGTTGGCTTCATCTCATCCGTGCAGATAAAATCAAATTCAGAAAACAAACAAGTCAAATTGTTTGACTTTGTTTTTGTCTGAAAAAAAATATCTCAGTAGAAAAATCAGGAACCCGTCATCCTCAAGAGCACAAGAACGAAACATAACAGATGCAGAGCAACCCAAAACAAGATCAAGTCTTTACGTAGAGGACGTGTGAAGCAGTAAGGCGATTATGATGCAGCTGTTGAAAAGAATACAGTTACAACATACAATAGAAATAATGCATTTTAATTTCTGTTATACTGAAGCAAGACATTTGAACACAGTTTCATGTGTTGTGATAATTTTGTACTCACTTGGGGGCCAACTGCTGCTAACTTCAGAGCAACAGAAACTCACAAAGAACAGAAAGAGAGCGATGTACAGGATCCTCGAGGACATTTTGGCTGACAGACTGGCTCGTGGACGATTGACTGCATTTACACAGTCTGACATCAGTAAGCCCAAAGGATCATCTTTGGGGTGGAGATATGATGTGGGCCGTAATGATGACGCTGTTTTTCATTTATCGACACGTGTACTGTGTGTTTGTGTTTTTTTTTTTACACTTTAACACCTCCAGCCTTTATCAAATCATCTTTCTTAGCCCTCTGAGCAGCTTCAAACCACCATGCTTGTGTCATTTCTGAGAAACAACAACGCAGCCAAGTGTGAAAAGATGAACATCATGGTGGGGGTTGCTACCTGTTTTGCAACACCATGAAAGATTTATATGAAGGGAGCAGATCATTCTTGTTTCAAAGTTTTCTGTTTCTATAGTAGTTAAAAAAACTGGAAATATCACAAATTTTTTATTTAATCACTGCTTTATTGGACCAAATTTTGAGGAAAGATAAAATGGAAAGTTCAAATGAAAATAAACTTTAGATTTGTCCAGTTTCCCTTTATATATCTCAACTCCAGTTACCTCGTCCAACACTCTGCAGTACTGTATTATTTTATATTTTTTTATGCCTGCCGTACATTGACTCAGACAATGTTTGCATGTAATCATAGCAAGAATGTTTGAAATTAATGAAACGACACACAAACACAGTGGAAGACATTTCTCTTTCAGTTTGCATAATAATGACCATCAAACATTATACTCACGCTCTTGTTATTTCTCGCATGCAACGTGTTACTCTCAAAGCTAGAATGGTGATTGTGGCAGGAATGCATCTGTTGAGGGCTAATTACATTTTGGCACAGTCACTGCTTCTGTCCCTTTTAATCTCACAAGATTCAATCATTCATGTCTTAAAACGTTGTTCGAACCAGAACGATTGTATCTGCATGGCTGGATAGAACAAATTATATTGTAAATATGATAAAAGATTTTTTAAAAGATGGCAAAAACAATTTAAGGTCTCTGGTGAATTGAGTTGAACTTGCACCTGAAACACAGTAAAAACTATTTATCAATCAGGAAAACTGAATAAGGAGAGGAGATGCCTAAAGAGAATTACAGTTTGTTTATGGATAGTGCACACAAGACTAGTCTTTGATAATTTGACACCATTATGATCTTACGTTAGGGGAAGAAATCTTAAAGATCTTAAAAGGAAAAAAGGAAACTCGACTCTTTAGCCTGGCTGAGACTTCAGTATAATCAGGACGATTTGAGGTCCGATTCTCCCGTTCACGACAATCTCAGGAGAGTTCCCTACTCAAGGCTGCACAGGTTATTATTTAATTATCAGATTATCTTGTAGTGTGAGTGGTATAAAGATCCAATCTAAATGTCCATGATCTGCTTAAAGATCGACGGGGATGCCCTGATTTTATTCAAATATAAATTATTATTATTATATAAAAAAGGATGCAAGAAAATCTGACAATTTTTCCTATGCAAAAATGAAGTTATACTTTTAATAACACAGTTTATTATTGGTTTTATTAAGTTCTCATCAAAGTTCACATCTGCTATATGGTGTGTTTGATCCTTATCTGGATAAAACTTTTAGCCATTATAGTTTCTTTAGTAAGAAAGAAGTCCTATTAGATGAAGATACAGTCTTACAGATGAATGATCTCATGTGCAACATTTATTTCAGATTTTTTTTTGTCACAACTTCTTTAGGAGAAAAATAAGCTCAAGAATTCAAATAAATAAAAATCCTAAAACATTTAAGTGAACAAGTTCATAGCTTGAGTTGCTTACAGCCACAACATTAACATTACACTCTAAATTAAGTTATGTAAAGTACCTTATAAATATTCATAAACACGCTTGGTAATAAATACATAAATACTTTTATCAAGACTGGTCAATTAGATTAAACTAATAAATAAATCCACCTAAAATATTAGACAAATGGTAATTTAACAACTTTTTTGCTTTGCTTTTTTAAATATCAGCTTGTTACAGTTTTGAAGCCATAATCGTAAACACCTTGATGAATTCAGTCTTCATTTTCATTGGCTGGTGGAGGATCAAATGCTGATTTACTCATCCTGGTCCTCTGAAAATGTTTCATCAGCTGGCATCTCAGATGTTGGGGCAAAGGAGGCAGGAGAGGAGGAAAACAAAGGAGTGGAGGATGAAGAAGTAGGGGAAGAGCTAGAAAGTGGAGAGGAGGAAGAAGGAAGAGAAGAAAAAGAAAGAGGAGTGGAGGATGAAGAAGGATAAGAGCTAGAAAGTGGAGAGGAAGAAGGAAGAGGAGTGGAGGATGCCGGACGGGAGGCAGTGGAGGTGATGATGGAGAGGAGGGAGGGTGCTGATGAAGGAACCACTGAAGAAGAAATTGCCTGAGCTTTAGCTCTCCTGTTGGAAAAATAAAAGCAGAAGAAAAGTAATGAGACCATGTTATTGGGATTCAACAATTAGATTTTATAGTAAACTGTAAGAAACTCACTCAATTGCAGCGATCTCTTGGCGAACCCATGGTGCTCTCAGATGGATGCAGTAAAGACCTGACTGTGTCTGAAAGCTGTGGGAATCACAAAAAAGACAAAATGATTACTTTCTAAACTCTCTATTTCAGAATTGTCCAATTATTATTTATTTTGTATAATTAGCTTGATTAAAGATTATCCATATTAATGTGTTTTATAGAAGCCATATTATAAACATGAAATGAGTGAAGTAGCATGTAGCTTTGTTTTTCTGACTTACATGACAGCGAGGACACATGGAGGTTTCGGCCTCTGGATCATGTATCCTGTGATTGGTTCTGTTATCTTCAGTTTCGTGACAGTCTTACAGCAGGATGCCAGCTTCTCTGCTAAAACAAACGAAAACAAGAATTGTAAAGATGTCAATTTAAATTGCTCACAGAAAAAGGAATATTTGTCAAAAATGTCTATTTCTACTTTGGCTCAAGCTAAATCTCACCTGCTGATACAGAATGAATCACCGCCACAAGGACCAGGGCAACAAAGGTGCTCTTCACCATTTCTCTGCTGTTCACCATTTTCCAAAAAGGCTTTCGGTTGAAGATGAGATTCAAAGGAGTACAGATGAATGAAGTAGTCTCTGTTCCTCTCTGGAGAGCTTCGTAAACTGACAGATGTCCGGAGGCTTCTAACACTTAAGCCTGAAAAAGCAGAAGTGGTCTCTGTAGTTAGTCAATGCTCACATTTTCTTTTTCCCACTTCATCTTAAATGTGCTAACCCGATGATGACGGGGATTTCCATGAACGGACCCGAGAGCTTACGAACAGGAAGCACTTTCATCATAGACTTCAGTTTGGAAAATGAAGTCACATTTTCCTGAATAAGTAATTGCGGGGGTGATAGGAATCCCTCCCAGGCCAGAGGTCATCCTCGTGCCCAGACATCTTTAATCAGCACATTTATTAAAGCATTTATAAAAAGAATCAATCAGCAAATTTTAAGCATAAATTATCCTCATTGTCAGAAATAAATACATTTTAACTTCCAACTATGAAACCAGTGCAGTTCTTTGTGAAAAAAAAAAAAAGCCACAACTACAGAGAGTTAAAGATCACATTTTTACATATTAAAACTTATTTTCATTTTGAGGAAGTGGTATCTGTAGCATTCATGTCATCAGGAAGAGAGCAATCATTCCTGGTATGATCTTTGCTTGGTCATGTGTCACTCCACCTCAGTGACACACAGACATGTCACAACATGAACCTCTGAGTTTCCATGCGTATGTTATCGACTATACAGCAGTGGCATTTTGTAACTTTAGAAACACTGCTGATTGTAAAATATCCACCCTCCTGGAATCAGTGGCATTGTAATGCATTCAGTGTCACCACTCTCATCACTTCAATATCAATAATTCTTCAGCTTACTGTGTAACTGGAGCGGCGTATAACTTCTTTTCGTTATGCTGTTTGGGACATTTCTTGCCATTATTGGACAGGACAGGTGTAGAGGGACAGGAAATGTTGGATTCAAACACACGACCACTGGCGCCCCGTCAGAAAAATACATATCCTGGCAAAAAACGTTTTAGTTTTATATTTTTTAATTGTGTTGCTTTACGATTAAGCAAATTTGGTCATCAGATTGTGACAAACTTTCCTTTTTTTATCAATCTTGAGAACGCTGCGGACAAACTGGTCCATCTTATCTCTTTCCTGATCCTCACTTGTTTGATCCTTACTTGTTTTATTATTATCTTACTTTTATTATTGATTTTATTGCTCAGGACCGGAGTACTGCATTTCGTACCACATGTTTCTGAAAAGACAACAAATGAACCTTGAACCTTGGTCCTAGTTTGTCAAGCCAAGTTTGAAATGCTGTCCTTATAGTTTTTATTTGTCTTTGGGCAATATTTAATAAAGTAAATCCTACAGGCCACTTTGAAATAGTATACTCATACCTGCACTGTTTGATCTCTGGTGATTTCAGTTTTTTTAATGTGTATTTACTTGAATGGCTCAGTTAAGTTAATTAATAAGACCTGTTTTTATTAAATAAGTAGTTTTTATTAATATCATTAACAACATCTAATATACTATGACCAAGAGTGAGCTAGTACAATACAAGGCTTTAAAGTTTTTTGATTTGCAAAGATATCGAGGTATTATTTTATGTCAATATTGCACACCCCTAGCCTGTAGCCTGTAGCACTGCACTGTGCTGTTATGTTGTAGTTCCAGGTATCTGTGGTGAAGCTTAAAGCTTTTACGTCCATGAACAACATGAGTGATGTTGAATTGTACCGTGGTCTCAACTGATTTGTCACTTTCAAACCATCAGTGGGAAGTTTCTCTCGTCTTTGCAAAGCGGCAGACAAAATTGACCGCTTCATTCTGTTTCATTTGCCTTCCTTGTTTGTTCAAACTTGTCGTTATACCAACACCTCTCGACACATGAGCTGTGCGGATATCGTTTGTAGACATAGTAGTAAGTGGGAAATACAGCCAAACTGCTTAGCCTTTGTTGTTAGTATCCTCCATGCTGTGTTGGCTCTGGCTAGCAAAATGCACATTGATGATAGTGACTAGAGGTGGGGAAAAAAAATCGATTTATATATCGAGATTCTTATCTTCTGAGATTTTAAAATAAATTCATAACTTCCAAAAATTTATATTTTTTTCAGCTAATCAGTCACTCCCTGCTAAGTGCTAAGGCTAGCTCTTTAACGCAATAGAATGCCAAATGGAGCAGCAAGAAATTCAGCCAGTCTCACAGATGACTGGAGTAGATCCTGAAGTAAACTAATGGTTCTCCTGTTTCTCGTTTGATTTCAGTGAAGTCTGCTCTGATCTATCAAGGCAAATATCAGAGAACAATGCTAACTTAACTTATATTTCTTTTTACAGATTATCAGCACTAGGTATCAAATCATACAAATTTCAAGTATAAATAACTTACATCTATAACTTTACAAAGTCTGAAAAATGAAGATAAAAACAGTTAAACACACGATGCAGGATCAGATTTCAAATATTTTATTTCTTACAAAAGTTTTCACAACTTTTAGATGAAAGGTTATCAAGCCTTTGAACAAATAAAAAACAACATATTCCCCCCAAACATTTTCATAAACTAAATATTTAACTCTAAATGTCATCATTCAAAAAAACACAAATTATAAAACTGTATACAGTAACTTGGAGACACTGATAAATACAATTTGGTAATAAATACATTAGTTCTTCTATACGCTTGTCAATTCAAAGAAACAAATAAATAATGTCAATATTTTAAAGAAGGATGCATTGAAAGAAACTAAAAGTTCAACATAAAAAATAATTTAACATAACTATGTTCTTCAAGTTTTCAAATATGAGTTTTTCTGTGTTTTCATCCGTTGGAGCTGAAGAAGATAAAAGATTTACTCTTCCTTGTCTTCTGAGAAAGTTTCATCAGCTGGCATCTCAGATGTGGAGGCGAAGGAAGGAAAAGTGGACGAAGTTATTGGAAGAGAAGAGGAAGGAGAAAAAGAAGAGGAAAAAGAGGAGGAAGGAGGAGGAGTAGAGGATGAAGGAGGGGAGGCAGTGGACGTGATGATAGAGAGGAGGGAGACTTTGGAGGAAGGGACCACTGATGGTGTCTCTTGAGCTCTTGCTTTCCTGGAAGAAAGATAAAGGAAAACAAAGGAGATGGTTGAGGATATATTGGAGATTAAATTATTTCATATTGTAGTGTAATGATTGAGCATTAAAGTAGTATTATTTATCAAATTTAACTCACCTGAATGCAGAAATCTTGCGAAGAACCCAGGGAGCGTTCAGCTGGCTGCAGAAAAGACCGGTCTTTGTTTGGAAGCTGCAAGAATAAAAAAAAAAAGAGGAGGAAGGAGGAGGAGTAGAGGATGAAGGAGGGGAGGCAGTGGACGTGATGATAGAGAGGAGACTTTGGAGGAAGGGACCACTGATGTGTCTCTTGAGCTCTTGCTTTCCTGGAAGAAAGATAAAGGAAAACAAAGGAGATGGTTGAGGATATATTGGAGATTAAATTATTTCATATTGTAGTGTAATGATTGAGCATTAAAGTAGTATTATTTATCAAATTTAACTCACCTGAATGCAGAAATCTTGCGAAGAACCCAGGGAGCGTTCAGCTGGCTGCAGAAAAGACCGGTCTTTGTTTGGAAGCTGCAAGAATAAAAAAATAAAAACAATGTTTAAGTACTTTTCTGATTATTTCCTCTACAAATAATTTTCTAACAGTTGATCAGATTCATAGAGCATTCAACTTCTTACTCACATGATAGCTTGGACACATGGGGGATCAGCCTTCTGGACCAAGAACCCTAAGATTGGGTCAGTTATCTCCTCTCTGTCCACTGTCTTACAGCAGGTTGCCAGCTTCTGGGCTAAAAACGGATTGGAAAGGATCGGTTAATAAAATAAACTCTACATATGCTTTAATTGACTCAAAAGAAGGAAAAGATGTAGTTAATCTGAAGCCTAATCTTACTTGCTGCTCCAGGCTGAACCACAGCTCCAAGGACAAGGACAACCAGCATTCTCACCAACAGGCTGCCAGAGTTTTCCATTTTAAAGAAAAGATAAAGTGATACAAGATAATATGCTTAAAGATAATTTTGGTGATATCTGCTGGTTTCTCTTCTTCGTTCCTCTCTGGAGAGCTTGGTTTTGATGCAAACGTCTGGAGACTTTAGATATTTAAGGCCTAACAAAGCAGAAGTGGTCCCTCCGGTTAGTCATCTTCCGACATTTTTCTTTTCCCCTTCTGTCTGTTTTTCTGAATGAGTGACCGGATGATGACTGGGAGACTGGGAGTTCCATGAAATGAGAGTTTGTTTGGGAACTAAAGCCAGGTTTAAAAAGTGTTGAATCCCACCCAGGCTGGGCAAAATGTTAAAAATCAATCAAAAAATGTATTCAAAATTTGTGTCTTTATTGAGTAAATTTTACTTATTTCAAGACAGGAATGTTTAAGCTGCCAACAATGCCTACATTTTTTTAAACAAAAAAAGGAAAACTCCTTGACACAATTGGAATTATATACAGCATGTGCTTTAGCTATATTTAGCCGCAAGGTCATCAAACTGGGTACTATTGAGTGTTATACCCGGTTTACACTTTACAATTTCAGGCTGATTAAGACACAATTTTTTAGTTGTAGGACTCATTTTGCAGTCGGGGCAAATTTTGTATTGTTATTGTAATTCAACACTAAAAATGTGACATCAAGAAATCACTAACAGGAGGCTGAATTATAAGATAAGATAACACTTTATTCTCCGTTTGCACGGGAATTTGTCTTACATTACAAACTTGGAAATCCTTGCATCCCAATCAGATCACATCATACTCAAAAGACAGAATGTAAAAACAGCGTAAGTTACATCAAAAGAGAGAAAAAAAGAAAGCCCATTTATGTAAAACAAAAGACACTGAGGAGACAGGAACTGACTTGTAATTGAACCTCAGTAAAAGCAGAACTTTTACATTCTCCACAGACTTTCAGTTTGCTCTGTTCTCATAACATCTAAAAGTGAAAATAAAAGCATCTTTGACCTTCACCAGAAAACAAAACTTAATCAACCACATTGCTAACAGTTTAACATAAACTGTTAGCAATGTGGTAAACCTTGTCTACAGAAGCTTGCATGTATTTTGAAACAGTGAAAACATAAATAGTCTGGCAGAAACAGCATTTGTGGTCAACTCATTTTTCCTGTAAATCTTTTTAAATAATTAAGCAAAGTTTATTTATTGAGAACGTCACAGACATCATCCACAAAGTGCTATTCAAGGACACACCATACAAGAAATAAATATTGAAACAATAATGCAATTGACACTATAATAATAACAACAACAGTAAAGAGTAGGCAAGACTGGAACATGAACCCCAATTGAGAGCATATATGATTAAAAACACAGCTCCCAGATACAATAAACAGTAGACAGTGAATTCAAAGATGAAGGATAATTAATGCCTGTCTAAAGATGTTTGTCTTTAACTGCCCATGCCTTTGACCTTTTGCAAAGCGCAAAGGCATGGGCAGAGCATTTCAAAGTTTGAGAGCTGTGGCCTGGAAGGCTTTAACACCAAGGCTCTTGAAATTCATGAAGAAACTATTTTTGAGTAGTTTTAGGGAGCTGGAGAGGCCGGAAAAACCTAAAAAAAAAAAAGTCAAAACCGTTACCTAAATCTTAGAATGATATATGTCTTGGAGAAATGATACACCAAAAGCTAACAACTTTTGTTTTACATTTTTATTACCAGACATGGTTTATTTTCCCCATCATGAATGCAAAGTATAATAGATTAAACTGTTAAATGTGCAGCTCAGCAGAAATCAAACCGGTTGAGGAAAGTACAAGTAGAGACAAGTATTTGAGATTAGCCTTCACTTTGCTTTGTTGTCATGGTACAAAGCTTAAAATAAACCAAACTTCCTTCCTACTGTGTTTTTCCCCACTTCTCATTCTCAGTTGCAACACATAGGATGTTTTTTTAATAGGGATTCACATGCTGATTGTTTCTTGAATATTCAAGAAAACTCCTTATTGAAAAAATGTGTCTTAGTCCAGTTTTACAAATAATGTCTGAAATAAATGTATGTAAATAAAACTAAGCAAAAGAAAACTCAGTATTGTGAAAGAAAGGAGTTGGTAACAGTAAAAGTATGAGTTTTCAAAAAAGACCCTTCTAAATGTGTGCTTGCATCAATATTAGGTATGAATGGATATTTAAATGTTTTTTGCAATCATTTCAGGACATATTTGATGTGAGCACTACATAAGGAATGTGACATAGTTTCAGTCGTGACACGCAGGTACACCGAATTTATGGGCTGCAAATTGTTTTTAAGCTGAAAAATGAAAGATATAGGGCTTCCACACTTGCAGAAAACTCCTGAAAATCTGATATTTGCATGAGCAGCTGTGAACACAAACAGTCACCTTTTTTCACTCGGATTCACCCTGGAGTTTCTCCTACCAGACCATAGTATTTTTTGCGCAGTAAGTCTGAGTGGACTGATGTGAGAATGCAGCAGGATATTCTCTGGAGATTCACCTCAAGCCAATGGGAGGCAATGGTGACATTTATATACTGTGACTGGAATCAGTGCATTGACTGCCATGATCTCTCTTCACGTAATTAAACAGAGAGAGATAAACACGGTAAAAAGTTTTTACACCAGTGTATTTTGTAGGCAGTTCAAGCTTGTTCCTTTCCTCAGCTGCTTACATCGTCTGCATGAAGTCATAAACCACTTCCCTGTCTTTCTTTCGACACAGAGCTACCAAACTAATTTCCATTATAAGACAGAGCTTGCAATGCCTGAGCAGTTTTAAATTAAATATTCAAAAAGATCAGCAAGGCCATTCCAAAACATGTCTGTACTTTTGTACTTTGTGGCAATGTTCTAATTTTTTTAAGCATGCAACACTGCATCAGCATTGTATCGTTTTGGTGAACTGTGCGGTGAAGAGAGACCTCAGCTTGAGAACTGACTCTCAGCACTTGACAGAAGTTACAGTACAGGGTGCATTGACTTAAAGGGGTCATATTATGCTTTTTCTGGTTTTATATGCTCTTTAGTGTGTTTTCCAAGTGTCCTGTGCATGTTTAGGCACATCGATGTGCAAAAATTCAAAGTCCACGGAAACGCAGCTTCTCCTACGTCCCCCCTCTAGCTGCAGCATTAGCTGCATGTAACACTCGGTTCTAGCCCCCCTCGAAAAAAAATGACCAGTGTGACGTCTTGTCAGTGTGATATCACTGATCTAAGCCCATTGGCTCGTTGTGGCAAGCCCAGCGGCAGAGCCGACAGGCCGACCAATCAGACCAGACTTGGCACACGTGGGGACTCTGAACGTGGGCACTTCAGAGATTTAGAGAGCGAGTGAGAAGCGAGCCGGTGCATGGAGCGGCAGTACATGAAAACAGACACTTTTTTCGAACTTTAGCGATTGTGAACATACTTTAGTAGGTACATAGATTAAATATACGAACCCCAAAAAGGGCATAATATGACCTCTTTAACGTGAAACACTTTTCATTGATCTCAGAAGTTTGTGTGGACCAAAAGAGGGCGCTCTACAAGCGAATTGCAGATACTGTATACACAGACATTATTGCTGTCCTGTCACATTCACACATTAAACAAACTCCACAGCTGGTGTTATGCTTCAGTTGATGTAGAAAGACTGTCATTGTGTTTTTTGTGTGCTGTAGGATGACTTCAGTGCCGCTCCAACATGCATGCCTATGAATTTAGAAATTACATTTTCTATAAGGGGAACATATGAACAGTCTTATAGGACAAGAGGGTGGGTGGGTGGTGGGGGCTGATTTACAAGATGCAAATAATTTCATCAAAAGTGTTGGGATGTTTACACTAAAATACACAGGAAGAAAAAACCTCCTAACTCAGGACCTGGATACATCCAAGTAGCAAATCAATTCAGGTTCAGAGTCAAAGGAAAGCTTTACATATACCTCTAATGAAAGTCATTAAGGAAGTCTAGTTGCGTAAGTGACAAGAAAAAATGAACCATAAGATCATGGAGGCTGCTTTTACCAACAGCTTCCTTGGTTAACACCTCTGCTCTGTGTAATCTGGGCTTGTAGAAGGGGGTTGTCGTGTCCATGTCTTAAAGAGGATAAGGGGAGTATTGCACTCTTCAACCTAGCTTGTTTTTTATGCGAAAGAAGGCAGACCTAGGTGACTGTTTAACGACAGATCACGTATGAACAGGTGAAAACTTCAGCAATACTTAGAAAATAGAAACTTATGGTAGTACCAATTTGTTTTGGATTAGTCCTAAATAAGTCATTGAAGATGACAAATCCACTTGAGCTTTGGAGACCTGGACCAAGCTGTACCAGTATTTTTTTTTTAAAACAAACAGGTACAGCTAGGTCAAACTTTGTCACTGTCACAGGTGTGTTGACCTCTATTTGAGGTCATAAGGAGAAGTGTCCGAGTATCCAAATCTGAGGCCCAGTTCAACATGTGAAGTGGTTTCTTTTTACTAGAGTACGGGTGTTTTTCTGAGCTGTTATGATGAAGAAAGCTCAGCTTGAGAAGGAGTCTCTCAGTTTACCTCTTGATCGATCTACCAGCCCTTACCTGTGGTCATTAACTCTGGATATCGACTGAAGACACTCTAAATGGACATAAGCATGGGTAAAAGTGTCTGGGACCTGTTAGACTGTGTTGTCATTCAATTGCGTCAAATAATTGAATAGATCAATTGCCAGACAACAAAAATGAGAAGATTTAGTTGGAAGGTTTTTAATGAATGGCGTTTGTGACTTTATAGTTTCCACATACTGTATGAGGTAGGACAATATTTCCTGAAAATAGTTGTATTACTTCCTGCACTTCCTTCAAATTTGCTTCGAGTTGTACAAAAATGCAGAAAAGGGGAAATAATAATGCCAAATAAGAGTTTCAGAAAGGATGACTGGGTCATGTGGAACATCAATCATACCTCCGTTTCACATGAAGGTTTATACACATTCAATGTGTAACTAATAATTTCAGCAAAAAATGCCCTATTTGTAATCAGTTGAAATGTCATGCCCTTCATATGTCACAGGATGTAATGAATAGTCATTGTGAAGCTAGCAACATACCATGAATCACTTGAGC